CCTGTATAATTAAAGGGGGGAGATCTGCCATGCAAACTCAGATACACGTGTCATTTGGACGCTCAAGATCCGAAGATCACAATCCATTATTCCGTCCGTTATCCTTGATTCCCCTACGTGGCAAAAATTTCGGTCTCTTCATATAAAATCCCGCCACAGTGCGAATTTCAATCTGCTTTTTATTTTAATAATCATTATTTCATAAAAGCGCATTAATAACCCAAACACCAAAAAAAAACCTCACAAAAGTAAAATTTGCTTCGTACGCTCTCGTCAAACAACTCGCTCCTACCGTTTCGCCAAACTCAGTCCGAGTCATCCGATTCTCCAACGATTCTTCGTTTTTTCTCACTCTTCTTTACGCAGAACACTCGAGAGAAAGAGAGATGAAAGGTGGTCAATCGAAAACTGAATCCACGAGCACTGATCAGAGGTTTGTTCTCCGACGACGACTCTTCGTTTTCCTCTGCATCTCAGATCCAGATTTTTGATTTTTTTCTCACCTAATTTTGTTCGAATTCGTAGATTGAAAACCAGAGGAAGAAAACCTTCGAAGAAAACAACCAAGGATCCAAACAAACCTAAGAGAGCTCCAAGTGCCTTCTTCCTCTTCCTGTAAACCTCGATTCGCATTTCCATTGATTTTGATTTTTGTCAAAATTTTCACTGATTTTTTATATCTCCGTCACCGGTGGATCCAAAGGGATGATTTCCGACGGGAGTTTAACCTAGCGAATCCGAATAACAAGTCAGTCGCTATTGTAAGTACTCGAAATTTTTGTTTCTACAATCTCAGATCTGTAATCAGAAACTGATAGTCATCGACAACATTAGGTTGGTAAAGCTGCAGGAGCTAAATGGAAGTCTATGACTGATGAAGTGAGTAATTGCCATTGAAATGCTTGATTGTATAAGCTCTTGTTGGATCTTATACTCTAAACTTTTTTGGTTGTGTGAATCTGTAATTACAGGATAAAGCACCTTACGTCTCCAAAGCAGAGAGTAGAAAGAGTGAATATGTTAAGAATATGCAACAGTACAACATGAAATTGGTATCAAAACTCTCATTCATTATTATCTTTGACGTTCTAGAGAGTGAGTGAGTGAGGATTGTTATGGTTTTACTAAGTTCTTGTGTGAATGTATTGTTTAGGCTAGTGGAACCAATAGAGCTGAAGAAGATGAGTCCAAGTCTGAAGTGGACGAAGCAGGAGGAAGTGAAGAGGTTTTGATTACGACTTAAACTCTAGTGTTATTGTATTTTTTTTAATCTCTTTTGATATAATGTGACATTAAGATTTCTTGGATTTGGCAGGAGGAAGAAGATGATGATTAAGAAGGCTTTTCTAGTTGTTCTTATTTCCCATTGACTGACTCAGATTTGAGGATGGATTAGCAATTTGTGTAAACTTGCTTAGATATGATCAAAAACTAGTTATGCCCTTGTGTTTGTAATAATAAGAACCTCATTTGCTCCTTGTATGATGTGTTTAGATCAGTTGTAGGGATTATATCACTTGACTGTTATATTTTCCTTATGTTTATTAGGATTCATATGTTCTTCAACTTTGCATGAGTTTAGTATTGGTTTTAGTTTGAGCTTCATTTCTACTTATGGTATATAGTTTGCTGTTTTGACTCTTGTGACTTAGGAAAGTTGTACCTCTCTGGCTTATTTTTCTGAGGGAATATTTGATTGGGACAGAACCTTTTGCTGGGATGGGTCATGTACCATGTTGATACATGGTGTGGTAATAAATGGAATATGCAAGAAAGGTGATACTGATTTGGTTTTAAATCTGCTCAACAAGATGGATGAAAGGAAAATAGAGCCGAGCCGAATGTTATAATCTACAACACAATAATTAATAGTCTTTGCAAACACACACAAGTGGATAATGCATTCGACCTATTCGACGAAATGGAAAACAAAGGAATTAGACCAGATGTTTATTCCTATAGCTCCCTCATAAGTTGCCTTTGTAACTACGGAAGATGGAGAGATGCCTCTCGATTACTAAGTAATATGATTGAGAAGGAAATCAAACCCAACATAGTTACTTTTAGTGCATTGATAGATGCGTTTGCGAAAGAGGGGAAGCTTTTGTAGGCTGAAAAACTGTACAGAGGAGATGATCAAATGGTCTGTAGATCCTAATACATTCACTTACAAATCACTTATCAATGGGTTTTGCTTGCATAATCGCCTTGATGAGGGTAAAGATATGTTTGATTTGATGGTTAGCTGAATGTAGTGACTTATAGTACTCTTATAAATGGATTTTGCAAGTCTATGAGAGTAGAGGATGGCATGAAACTTTTTCTTGATATGTCTCAAAGAGGAATTGCGGGCAATACAATCCACTTACACCACTCGGGAAGCTAGAGAAAGCACTGGTGTTATTTGAGGATATGCGAAAGAGTAAAATGGAACTTAATGTTTTCACATATAATATTATTATCGAAGGGATGTGTAAAGGTTGAAGATGAGTGGGATTTGTTTTGTAGCCTCAATCTCAAAGGAGAGAAGCCTGATGTCATAACCTACAATATAATGATCTCCGGATTTTGTAGTAAAGGTTTAAAGAAAGAACCAGATGCCTTGTTCAGGAAAATGAAAAAAGACGGGCCTCTCCATGATAGTGGTACATATAATACTCGTATCATGGCATGACTTAGAAATGGCGACAAAGTAGTATCAGCTGAACTCATCAAAGAAATGAGGGGTTGTGGATTCTTTGGAGATGCTTAAACCTTTGGTTTGGTCATTAATATGTTGCATGACGGGAGATTAGAAAAGAGATATTTCGATATGCTTTCTTAAACTAGTTTTACCCCAAGAGAAGGCGATTGCGGTGTGTTTACATTATAACGACTCAATTTCGTAAGTTAATCTTACCTTTTAGTTGGAATTTAGTTGAAGTCATGATTTGTCTGATACATTTAAGAACAGAGACTACATGTTTTACATTTAAGAAGAGATAAAGCCTTAAGAGATTGCAGGGCTGGGCCTGAGGGGAGGCCAAGGAGACATGGGCTTTGGGTCTCTAGAAAAAATAGTTTATAAATTTTAACAAATGGCCCCCAATTTTTTTTTCTTTTACAAAAAAAGCCTCCATAATTTAAAATTTTCATGTTTTAGTCTTGTTTTTTTTAAATAAACACAAAAATCCAAATTTTTATTAGTTTTTGCTTCGGACCGCTCGACCAATTTGACTTTGGCCCAAAAATATGGTTGAACATGTTTTGGATCATTGTCATTAATATTGGACTATATACAATAGGCCTAATTAGAGATAATTAATACTATTTGGGACCAATCTATAAAGGAACAAAAGATTGAAAGTAAAAGTAGTATTCCATTTTTGTGATATGATTAAAGAAGCCGCGAGGTGAGGGAGAATTCGATTGCATGTGAGTCTGATACGACTTTTAGCAACTGGTGTGATCAAAGACAAAAATGATTAAGGTCGGTCCCATAGTTATTTAGATGTGTAAGTTTGGGTTTAGTGCTTTTTTTTTGGTAAAGTTTATTATATAAATGGAGTTTTTATGTCCCTCTGGTCTCTCTCAAGGTATTTGGATCCTCAGTTCCTCATATTATTATAGATTATGCAAAAATTTGGTGTCTATAATCTCTAATCTCATTGACCACAAATAAAATAAAAATTTTGAACGACCAAAAATAAAATTGATTTTAAGCAGTTCTCTTTCTTCTTTTTGAAGTTTCTATTAACCTCACCTAACAACTCTTCCAATGAAATTTGAAGTTTTTTGCCATTCTTGTACACTTTTGTCCTTAGACAACTTAAATATGCTCTCATTTTCTTTAAAGGCTAACGTAATTTTGGGAAACTTTTGTAAAAAAACATACGATGATATTTTCTCAAATGAATAATGTATTTTGACGACAAAAAAAAAAAAGAATAATGTATTTTATCGGGCATGTTTACATTAAAAAATGTATATTACGAAAATCATATTATTTGATCTAGTGACACCGTTATTCACATAATTAATATCACTTTTGAACACGAGAGATCAAAATACATCATTTACGTACGAAAATGACACCATATTTTTTCTGCATTTTTTTTAAAGGAGTTGAGCCCGACTTGGGCAGCCACTTTCAATTTTTTTTAATTTTCTTACAAACTACTACTAAATAAAATCAAAGGGATGGTGGTCTAGTGGTAACATAATGGAGTTGGTTTCCTTATGCCCCGAGTTCAAACCTCCTTTGGAACGGACATTTATTATTTAAATCGGAATTTCCAAAGACTGTCTACGAGTACCGAAGAGAATCAAATGTTCGAAACTCCCACAGTTTATCATTATTTCATAAAATGCTACTACTACATAAAATGCTCGTTATTTCACAAGAAATTGTTTTATATTAATTTTTAGATGAAATAATTAAAAAGAGTTGAACTAAAATTATAAATACTTACAATGCATAGTACTAGGGAAAAAATGTCCCGAATATATTTAGGTCTAGAGGGTCTAATACACATAGTAATTATGATACTCCCTCCGATTTAAAATGTAAGTTGTTTTACCTAAAATCGCGGATATTTAAGAAAAAACTTATATTTTGAAACAAAAAAAACTTTCAAAACAACTTACATTTTAAAACGCAGGGAGTATATAATTAGGCTTAACCACGTAGATATTATGAGTTTCACAATATGAGTTAGGCACGTAAAAACAAATGTGAATCAAATTGAGTTTTTGACCTTTTAAGATATGCAATGCAATAATAGGGCAGTCGTGGCATAGTCTTAATGGCTCTAGGGTTTTAGTGTAGAGTTCGGTTTCGTATACACACGGATGTGGGGAATGAATGAATGAAGATTTTGGGAAATTTC